GAGAATTAGGTTTAACTGACCTATCTTCACTTAGTGTTTAAATTAATTTTAGCACTTTTAAGAATAAATAAAAAATGCTTATAATAATAATAATTTTTTATTGCATTCTTTGCTATTAGTTAGGGGGAGTTTATGATTCTTAGTGAAAATTAATTTTATGTTCAAATGTAGTTTAAGGATTAAATTGATTGATTGAACATGATTAATTTTCAATATATGAGTTGACAAATACCACTAGAGCTTATTAATTTAGCATTTTGAATGTTTAAAACGGATTTTTGACATTTTTGTGCTTAATACATCGATACACTAAACAGTGCATCGATGCATCCTTTTGAATGTGCATCGATACACCATGAAGGTGCACCGATTCACTCCTTGAATGTGCATCGATGCACAAGGCCATGCATCGATGCATCCATCGGGTTTTTGGATAAAAACCCTACTTTTCTCTTTATTTTCTCAAACCCTTAAAACACTCTCAAAACTGACGTTCACCCTCTCTCTCTCTCTCTAATCTCTCCTTTTGCTTCAAATCAACGTAATTTTGATGGATTTCAATCATTCTTCATCTCCTAATCCTGCTTTTATTATCAAATCGTGCAAAACAACATCACATTCCTCTCAATCCGAAATTTTCAAGGTAATATTTCAAAACCTCCGTTTTATTGATTTTTGAACTTAGAACTAGTTTTGATTAGTTCTAGGATGAACATTATATCGGGCATTGATTATATTATGATTCTAAACTAGATTTTACAATCAATTTCGTCAAAAACAAATAATTTTTCAACATTGTCTTTGAATTTTCGAAATAAAAAAAATGATATTTTCAAAAATTATTGTTTTTGATTTAATTGTATTGTTTTCATGAAAACTATATGTATTATGATATTTCTAATGTTATTTTCAAATAGTTTTCAAAATCATGCCCATTAGGATTCGGTTTAGAGAATCTTGAATTATTGCGGACTCAATTGAGTTTTGGGATTGATTATTTTGCATACATGTATTTCAAAATTGCATGTTACTTTTCTAATTCTGTTTCCTAAATCATGTCAAACCCAAAACGCCCTAGGTCATCTTCGAGTCGTTCTAACCGAGCCCCTAATCCTATTCCTCCTCAACCTCAAAATCCAAACCCGAATGACCAAAACATGACCATTATAAGTTCCTGTTTTAATATGCCTAAGCGTCGTAGGGATGAACTCTACCATAGGTATATGAACTCCTTCCAATCTTACAAAATCCGAGAAGAACGTATTCCCTCTGTTCAAGCCATGGTAGACATCAACTTTCAATTCCTATAGACTCTCAAGTCCTGGAAATTTGATAAACTATTTCACCTTAAACCAATTGTCTATCATTAGTTAGTTCGCATTTTCTACTCTAATGCGGTATGTATTCAAAACCAGACTCAATGTTGGACTATAGGAATTAGATCCTACCTTTTAGGACAATATATTCATATTGTCTCCGAGTCTATCGCTAGGCAATTTGGGCTAGATGACAATAGTCTATACAGTGGAAAAGAAACTATGGCATATCCCTATCTTCCTTACGCTAGTGTTAGTACTCTACAATCTCATCACGATCAATTTCTCCATTTGATGATCTCTTGGTGGTTTAGACCATCCGGAGGTAGGTACTCCACTCTTCGTATTAGGGATTTATGGTGGATGTATTGTATCCAACATAATAGAAAAATCAATTTGCCACAAATCATTTTCAGTGAACTAGTAGATACTATAAATGATGTCCCTTCTAAACATGTCGAAACTTTAGTTTATGGGTGTCTACTTAGTAATCTTTTTATCAAACTCAGTCTTAACGTCTCTCTTGACAATCCCATTCCTCTTCAAAACCAAATCAATCTCACCTCCTTGAAGAAAGTTGATTGGAAACAGGATGAGGAAACTGGTCAATGGGTTTATCGACCCTCTAAGCAAACTCCGGGATCGAGTTCTTCACGAGCACCTCCTGCTCCTAACTCCTCTCGTACTCAACCTCCACCGGTACCGGCTGCAGATGATGATCCCGAGCTTCAAGGGCTATTTCAAGATATTAACGATCCCGACAATGCGCCGACACAACAAGAGGATCAAGTGTCTCCATATTTCCGTTCGTTTTTGGAGACATTTGATATACGGTTTGCTTCCATCGAATCTCATTTAACTGCAAACAACGAAGCGGTGAATCATCGCTTAGACACTTTGGAAGCTCAACAAATGGAGTTTCAAAGGGAGATGCTTGCACGTATGGATGCTCTTACTCTTGAGATGCAAGCACGATTTCCTCCTCCTCCCGATACTTCTATGGACGAGTAGACCTTGCTTTGTTTTTGTTTTGGATCAACTTAGAACTTTACTTGTTAAAACATTTTGAATGCTTTTGGATTGTTTTACTTTGTTTGTTGGATGTTTGAATTTGTTTGGATTTATATTTTGGTTGCTTTGGATATTTGAACTTATATATATATATATATATATATATATATATATATATATATATATATATATATATATATATATATATATATATATATATATTTGGTTTGGTTTTCTTTTTGAGCTTAATGATTATTAATTTTTTCATCATTTACATATTTGTTGCATTATGATCAATTTTTACCATTTCACATTTTTATTATGAATATTGATTGGACTAATGGCTAATATCTCTTTTGATTGTTATCTTAGCAGCTTAATCTTTCAATTAATAAATCAATTGGCTAAGTTTTTCAAAACCTTGTTTAAAAATGTTTAGAGTCTTTTTGATTTAACAAAAAGGGGGAGAATATAGTAAGGGGGAGTAAATTAAATTTTCAAAATTGTTTACAAAAATTATGTTAAAAGAAAATCTTAAAATTACTCAAATGTTTTGTTATATCAAAAAGGGAGAGATTGTTGAAAACATTTTGATGTTTCGATATAACAAATTAAGTATAAATGAATTTTAAGATTTTACAAATGATTTTCTAAGTATATTCGATTTAATTACTCGAATATCAAAATATTACTCCAAGTCTTTCAAAGATCAAATTCAATCCTTACTAAAGTGTAAAATTGTGTTTTAATCTTAAAATATTTTTGAAACAATTTTCACAAAGTATTTCGAACAAAAAACAAGCCTAAAATCAATTTTTCAAAAGAGTGTATCGATGCACCAATCCATGCATCGATGCACCATTGAATAAATTGAACATCAAATGCATTTTATGCATCGATGCACATACCATGCATCGATGCACTCAGGTTTGTATGAAAACATCAAATGCATTTTATGCATCGATGCACAAGACATGCATCGATGCACTCAGGCTATTTTGAAACATCGAATGCACTTCATGCATCGATGCACTCTTAGTGCACCGATGCACTAAGGGTCCAACGGTCAAAATATTTGAATTTTATATATAGTGTACCGATGCACTAGACGCTCCCAATTGTTTTATTAATTGTTTTCACACTTAAACGGCTCCATTGACTCCACTAATCATCCCCAACGTCCAGAATCAATTAAAGAAGTATTTAAACAAGCTTAGAAGCCATTGATCAATAACAAGAAATAACAATCAACAAGAATCAAGAGAGAATCAAAGAGAAAGCATCAAACCTCAAGTTTGAGCATTTTCAAACCTATTTCATTCAATATTCATTTTTGCTTTCAAGAACACTTATTGTGCTCAATTGTATTATTCTTGAGTGCTTTTTCTTTGTTTTAGAATTGTGCAAACACATTTTCCTTGTGAGGATTTTCATTAAGTTTGCGAATTTGTAATCTTCTCTTTGAGAAAGAGTGTTCTCAAGAATTAGGGTATATTCTTGAGGGAATTGTAAGGTTATCTCTTTGGCCTCAAAAGAAAGAACAAATTAGTGAATTTGTTGGAAAATCCTTAGTGTGGATATCTAAGGTAATGGATGTAGACTTTGGTTGAGAAAGTAGAACCACTCTAAATCGATGTGCAATTACTTTCAATTTTCTGCAAAACCTTCCACCAAATTTTTAATTGCCAATTCACCCCCTCTTGACCTATTCCGTCGATCGATTAACTCAACAAAACTCGTATGTCATATCATGTAACATATATCATATGTTGCATTTTCACGTAAACATGTAAATCATGTAACATATAATAACATACATTCATTTCTATGTACTATTGCACACATAATAATCACATAACATTTTAGAAGTTACTTCTTACCATAGTAACTCCGTCACTGGCTCATCGCAAGCCAATGTTTGATCAATAACATAAGTTCAATTTAAATTGCACTCACCTTAGCCTTGCTTTGATTCGATCCTAATTCTTTGATTGTTTCGGAACTTGTTTAGGCTCGATATCTACATAAACATAATTTCCGAGACAATTATCAAAAGCCTAAACCTTATAACTTGATATTAATAACTTAGGCTAATTTAATAAACCAAAATTTCATTTTTCCTTTAAGGGTGTATCGATGCACTATGGGTGTATCGGTATCCAAAATAGCTTCGAAATTTCCATGCATCGATGTAACCCTTAATGCATCGATACACCTTCAAAAATTTATCTTAGTGCATCGGTACACACTCATAGTGCATCGATGCACCTGCACAGAATAGACTATTTCATCCGAAAATTATCAACACTTCACCCAAATTTTCATATATAAAATCCTTATTATGCTACTAAATTCATCTATAACAACTTTAACCAATTCCTATCATTTCAACACCTTATAATCTTCCATATTTCATCCAAATTCTTAAGGCTAAGAATCATACCAAATTTTCCATGTTATCCAAACTTAATTCTAACACTTCTAACTTCTTATTCTCATAAATGACAAGTCAAATTCATCCTTCAAATTCATTTAAACTTTCTTATTCAAAATTTCACTTAAAAACCCATTTTCTTTAATCTGTCATAACTCTTTTATCTTTTGATTTTAAGATAGCATTGCTAATGGTAAAATGTCATCTTAAGATGATAGTGATTGGGATAAAGCATCATGTGTAAATGTTTCTATTTGATAGGCTTGTAAATTTCTTGATGAGAAATGGAACCCCAAGTTTATGGTCATCGTTACACAGAAAAACCATCATACGAAGTTTTTCCAGCAAGGATCTCCTGACAATGTCCCACCCGGTAAGGATCGGTCATGATTCAGCATGCTGCCATATTATATTTTGTTATGGTGTTCAAATTAACACCCCCCCCTTTTTCTCTGTTATGCAGGCACTATTATAGACAACAAAATCTGTCATCCAAAGAACAATGACTTCTATCTTTGTGCTCATGCAGGAATGATTATAAGTGTTCAGCGGAACTTTGTTTTGTCGATTAATGATTCTATAGTTATAACTTGTCTTTTTGCCCCATTATTAATTATTAATATGCTTAGAACTTCATTGTTAAAGCCAGTTACTTGGTCTCCTCCTCCGTCAGGATTTGTTAAAGCGAATGTTGACGGCACGATGGATAAGTGGTGGTCGAAGGGTGGCATTGGTGGGATGATTAGAGATGAGAAAGGGGTGATGTTGGGTTCGTTCTCTGAAGGCATTGGATCCGGACCTCCTATTATGGCAGAGTTGATGGCGGTAAAAAGAGGCTTGAATTTATTTTTGGATTTGGGGTTATCGGCAAACCAAAGACTTATTTTGGAAACAGATAGTCTTGTGGAAGTCGATTGGATAAAAAATCCATTAAGTTCCACCCCGATGTTCCTATCCTTAGTAAAATATATTGCAGAGATTGTAGTAGATAAAGGTGTCATTGTGCGTCATGTGGTGAGAGCAGTTAATTGGGAAGCGGATAAATTCGCTAAACTAGGGATTGGTTAAGTGGAGGGGATTTATTTTTTTTTGCTGTCTTGTTTCTAGGGAATTTTTGACGGCTTAGGTTTATATTTAAGTGTGTTACAGGCTGAGCTTATTAGAAGGTTGTTTTGTGTAGGATAATTCTTATGCTTAATTGTAGTACATCTTTGCGCAGTGTTGCAGGGGGCAATGATTTTGGCGTTCTTGTAATCCTTTTGTACTTGTTTCTTATGCAATAAAATTTCTAAGGCACTCTTTTCCTCCTTCTAATTTTCATTAAGTCCTTGTTGCTTGACGGATATGAAGGGGGTTTTTAATGAGACCTTTCTTATTATAAAAAAAAAGAACTTCATTGTTCTTTTTCCACTTTCAAATGTGAATCAAGGCTATGATTTCTGATCTGTTATGAATTTCACATCTACATTTTTTTCTTGATCTATTCAATTGGCTGATTTTACCTTGAAATGTTTCTGTTAAATATCTTTTTGCCGTGATTACATTGCTAGTATCTTTTTTGACGTGTTTTAGATTTTTGTAATGTTCTTTTCCTTTTTTTCTGATTTGTGTTGCTTTCCAGGGAACCACAAAGCCTACTCATTATCATGTTCTGTTAGATCAGATTGGGTTTTCGGCCGATGATCTCCAGGAACTTGTTCATTCTCTGTCATATGTGTGAGTGTATAATCATGTATTGTAATTGATTCTCCAATGTTTTTATCCATAATCAATATCAAATTTCTTATAATCTGTCGATTGCAGGTATCAAAGGAGCACCACTGCCATATCTGTAGATAAGAGTTCTGTTCTGGCTTTTGGTTCCTAGTGTTTGTGATGGTTTTCATTTACTTGTTTGATATTATAATCCTTTTTTTCAGATGTGTTTCAGATCTTTTATCGGAATTGCAAATATGACAATGCCATTTTTGTTGCAGTTGCTTCAATTTGCTACTCACATTTGGCAGCCTCACAGGTGGGGACATTCATAAAGTTCGAAGATCCTCATAGACATCGTCAAGCCATGGTGGGGTCACCGCACCCGGAGCTGTTCCTGTCTCTCAGTTGCCTAGGTTGAAGGAGAACGTCTGCAACTCTATGTTCTTCTGCTGAGGGAGCAATGAGCTCCACGTTTTGTGTAGATGTTTGGTTTTTACCAAACGAACGGTTTTATGCATGTTTGTAAGTTAAAAGTAGGGTTTTATCCCTGAATGTGATGATGTTGCAACTGTTGTTTGAAACATCATCCGTTTTGTGTATGAAACTTGGGGGGGGGGGGGTGTCCCTACTGCATCTAGGATTGTGAATGTATGTTTGACTAGCACCTGTTCAATGGTTATCGGTAACTTGCTGTTTCTATGCTATGGAATGTGGCTGATTGTTTCACTTGTTCAATATGAAGTTATAGTTGAAAAGTTGAGCGGAGAACCCTAACGAAAATAAGTGCATTTGGAGTTCATATTATTAAATTGAAACTTGAGGCTGTAGAATTAGTAGGGTTCAGGTTTAAAATCTTATGAGAATCATTTCATGAAGTTCAGATTTTATTTACCACCAAGAGTGTTTTGTCGTTGTATTTGATTTTTTCAAAATCGTTTGAACAGTTGCAAGTTAATTCCAAAACTTGCAATGATGAATCACAATCTTTAAGAGCATATTTTACTACTCAGTTACATATTTTACAACTGATAGTCACCAACACGGACTACCATATCAAACTTTGGAGGAAGATGCTTATGTCTTGCCTGCCACCATCAACAAAAATTTCCCAATTTCTACTAAGACAGGAGAGGAGGTTTCAATGTCCAGTGGCGATATCCTAACAATATATTTCATATGTTTTTATGACAGATAAACAGCAGGTTATTATGCAAAATAAATAAATAATATCCAGGACCAACATCTCAAAACACCAACACAACTGATTCCATCACAAAAGAATATGTTGATGAACACAAAGGCACCATTTCACAACACCATTTACTCCCATTGTAAGGCAAAGGTTCTTAACCAATGAAACACATACAGATGTTTCATACAGAGGGTAAGGGAGTAGGGGTCAGCATATAGCTGGAAATGCTTCTGTTAAGGGTTACGTTAAGCACGAAAGCAGCAGTCAGGGACCATGTAGCCTTTGTACCTGCAATTCCAAAATCTCATCTTGCCCAATATGGGTAGTTAATGACTTCATAAGCTAACTGGTTGCACCGGAAAGAAACCGAACAAGCTAACAACATTCCATGCAAATTATACAATACCATCATCATTAAATCTACAAAACCACAATTCAAGAAAATGTAATAATGACCCCAAAATGTTGCCAATAAAACTAAATTAAGAACTTTCTTATTCACATAGGAAAACATTATCCATCAGTCAGTTTAAGTTCAAAAAAGAAAGCAGTACGGAAAAAGGCATTGTTTGATTCACTTGAAAATATGAAAAAGGCATAGTAGCATCTGCATGAAATCCTCAGCACTTTTCAAGAAACAGATATTTGAACTGAAACGGTACACCTTTTTAAAAACATGTGAAGGTGAGAGTACAAAAACTAAAATGAAAGTGAAAATACAGGTTTAAAATTTCTGATCTTTATAGTAGACAAACAATAACAACTTTTGGGTACAAATTTAAAGACCACGTTTGCATGAGTGCCCGGAACTTCAGAATCACCATAGTTGAAAATTAAATCATTGATTCATCTATGAGAGTATCTGCACAATGAATAAGAAAGCAAAAAAAAAAAGACAAGTTTAAAAAATGAGATATTTATGAAAAAATATGAACTTAAGTTTCATACCTTTGGCAAAAACAAATAAGATTTTGTGTTAATAAAGTTTAACCAACTAAAATTTGAAGGACAGCAATGCAAGAATACAAAATGAAGTTCAATAAACAATATTAAGTGGGATGAAAGCAAGAAGAAAGTTCCATTATAATTTTAGAAAGAAGGAAACAAAAAATTCAAATAAATCTTAAAAGATATATGGATAGTTAAAAAAATTGTTACAAGGCCTTTGCATAGAAAAGAAAAGAAAAGCTCAGACTCGGTAACATCCTAACTCTTAAGAAGTCCACCCTTTCTTCAAGAGTTAAAAATTAACCTCGTAAAACTAACAATGAGAAGTATTAACTTAAAGTTAAAGTATACTACGAAGCAAGTTATTCCTCAACACTTCAGTCTTGTTGAGACTTAAAAAGTAACTAAAATAAAATTTGTACCACTCATTTATATGCAATTCTTTTTCAGCTTTGAAACAAAGGTGATCCTGAACACTATCCACACTGTGAGATCATGATTAGCATCATATAGCACATTTCACTCATAAGAATCAAATTCACATTTGATAGATCTAATATGCAGAAAGATCATGCAAATAAAACAATGATGAAGTAAGAAAAATATTATATCCAGATACCTTAGGCCTCACCTAATGTCCCATGTAGGGTGCACCACCACCGGGGTGATTCCTACCAGCACCACCCTGACCCATCTGAGGGTTTTGATACCCACCTTGCACTCCATAGCCTCCAGCAACCTGATTCCCATACCCTGGAGCAGGTGCCCCTTGGTTGACAGGGGCACCACCAAACCCTCCAAGGAGATTACCAAGCCCTAAGCCTCCCTGGCCAGAAAGCAATGCATTCAAAGCCTGTCCAAGCGCTGGGTTTAAAGCAGGTACAGCAGCAGCAGGGTTAAACCCATGAGCAGCAACTCCAGGGCTGAACCCCACTGCAGTAGGCCCAGACGGAGCCATCAAATGACCAGTCTGAGATCCAGCAGATGAATACTTTCCCTTCTTAGCATGATGGTAATGAGACTGAATCTGATGTGCTCCTTTCTGATGCTGGTGGAACTGCTGATGATGCCCACCAGAAGTGCCTCCATTACCACCTTTAGTCAATTTCGGTCCATCAATGGCTTTTTGGCAATGCAAAACATGACCTTCAAAATTCTTATGAGGCTCCTCTAATGCTTTCATGGCACTCTCAACCGACCTGTATACAAAAAAGGCAAACCCCTTTGGTTTCCCTGTCTGCTTATCAAGCCCCAATGGACCTTCCTCAATTTCCCCATACTGTTTAAAAAAATAAAGCAACTTCCCTGGGTCCAAATCAGCTGACACATTGCTAACAAAAATCTTCCTTTGAGTATACTCGGAAGCAGACGGAGCAGTCGGAGGTGGTGCCGGAACCGGCCCTTGCGAAGCCAACTGGCAAGAAGTCGTTCTATTCCCAATCTTCTTCTGGGGCTGTTTCAAAGCCCGGCGTGCCCCGCTCCGATGCTTAAATAGAATAAAAGCATAACCTTTTGATTTTCCAGAAACCCTATCGGTAACAGCTTTGCAATCTTCAATTTCCCCATATTTAGAGAACTCAGCGGTGAGGGTTTCAGCAGTGGTATCCCAACTTAACCCATGAACGAAGATCTTCCTGTGGGCCGGGTCTGCATCCGCGAATTCCCGAACTGACGAGATAAATTCTGGGTGTTTATCAACCGCTTTCTTGATAAGGGTAATCAATTGATCTTTCCCGAATGGCTCTAGAAGTTTCTCGAACGGCTCGTCGTCCAATTCCTTTTCTTGATCCGTTCCCTTCTTGGGCCCATTTTGAATGGCGGCGTTAGAGGAACCGATTAGGGTTTGGTTTGGAGTTTCTTCGTCTTCTTCATCCTCTTCTTCATCATCGTCTTCTTCAACTTCTTCTTCTACTTCTACTTCCAATTCTAGTTCCTCTTCGACTTCCTGTAGTTGCTGCTCCTCGTCTAATTTCGGGTTCGGATCTTCATTGGGTAAATATTGGGGCTGTTGTTGCTGCTCTTGTTCTTGAATTGATTGAGGATCCGGAGTCGTTTCGGTGGGTTGGGTTTCAGATGATCGTTGCTTTCGCTTTTTCGCCATTGATGAAAATATTAAAGAAAAAAAATTTAGGGTTTTCAATTGGAGTTCTGTCGTAAGGAATTGCTAGGGTTTGGAAGATGACGGAGTCTATCAATATATATTCAGTTTCGAATTCCAGCTGTAATATCTGACTTTTTATATATAAAAAATACTCAAATTGTATATTTTTCTCATTTAGATATTTATTTATTTTTTCATTTAATTATTAAAATTTTTCTGTTAATTTGAATGTTATTTTAAATACCTCTATCATAACTGTTAAATGACATAATTATAATTTTCAAAACTTTTATTTTTCATTTTTTTATTAAAAAAAACATCTTTTAAATATTTTCCCCAAACCCGCGTGCCTTTTCCCTTCCCCCCCCCCCTGCGGAAACCAAGTCTGAGACCTCCGATTTAGGCCGACTGACGATCTTCATAGTATTCTACATGTGGTGCAATCCTTGTCATTTTTGTTACGGTGACCGTTGTCTTTCTCAACAAATATCTATCATTGTTTTTCAACAAAAGGAATCAGCACAATAGATTTGTCACCAACAGTGACATTTTTATTATCACGTCTCTTCTTATCAGTGTGTGTGATTCTGGAAAGCAGCTGCTACACAACTATAACATGCTCTCTTATGCAGTGAATTCCTTCATACTCCCTGTCGTCGGAGTTCACTTCAATATGACCAATCTATTTAAAAAACTCACAATTGTTAATTATCACTACACTGGCAGCATCCTTTCATTATTACTCAACATGAAAGACAATTACAACCTTATAATAATCAATACTCTTATTACTAAATGTAAAGCTCCTCCTAACTCTTCTTCTTCTTCTTTGTATTACAAGTATGTCACTCTTCAGCTCTTTTGTTTTATAGCTGGATCACTTGGGTGTATTTTGTTTTATTTTCTAATTGTCAAGTTAGATTTTCATTACTTGGTTAACTGCAATTAACAACTAAATGATCAAAATTGAATGAACCGCGATAACGTAAAGGATGAAAATCAATTTTTTTTAAACTAATGACCAAAATCAAACAGACCAAACCAAAATCATAAGAGACCACTTGTATAGTTTACCCTATCAAATTTAAGTTGATAAGCAAAGATGATAATTTAACAACGAAACCTTGCACAAATAATCTATAAATTAAATAAAAAGAAGATTACATTTCAGGAACAAACATAAAGCTCAGTATTAACGCGTCTCATAAAACGAACACAACAAAATAGGTGGTTATGTGCAAGAAAATAAGATCTACAAACTTCTAAGTCAAATAGCAAAAATAATTTTATCAGTCCGCAAAGTAGTAACTGGAAACTGCTCCAAAATTAAATTTTGATGTTAAAGTAATCTGGATCAGAATGATGTAATCGCACGTATCCATCCTCGCCACCGCTTGAGAAACTACAACTCACAAAATACATGGAATGACATTAGACAACATGGTGAGATACTATATTAATGATACAATAGATCTAGTAGGATATACCCTTCATAAAATGCAAATAATATGCAAAGAAAACTTTTAAAATATTATTTGCATCATACCTCTTCCCATCTGGGTTAAAAGCCAATGCATTTATAGGCCCAAAATGCCCTTTCACACCTCCAATTTCCTCTTTAAGTATCTATAAGGCAGCCAAACATTATGGTAAAGTGGGAAATTGCAAAATAACACATCTTCCCCTTCCGTAGAAACCTTATTCAAACAAAATTACCTTGTCATAGAATTTAGCTTCAAACTTCCCGGCACGATGATCCGTAGTTGTGACAGCTGATGCATCGTGGCCACCACCAAGCACCACCTTGAAGAACACCAGGCAATCAGAAGAAATATTAAAAAGATGTACCCCATAAAGCAACAAGAAAGATTGCCGAGTGCTGAATGCTGATTATGAAATCAATTCTCCACCCTCACAGCATTGCCAAATAAACCTACTATCATGCAAATGCATGCACTCTTTGATATATAATAACAGTCTATCAAACATTTGCATTTGACCGTCAAAACCATCAATGTTGCAAGGCTTGAGGTGCATTACAATATCAGACTTCTTCAGCATTGTCTTACGAGTACCAGCAGTTTTACATAAAATGTTTGAAGACCCTGAAGTTACCAGTTACAAAATAAATGGGATACCAAACTTCCAGAAATTAGAAAAAGGAAAGCCAGATTTCTATTCCCTAATGCAGAAAATTAAGGAGAACAGACCAATTAAGGACAAATAAAATTAGCATAAAAGTTATGCAGCTTTTATTAAATACTTACATGGTCAAGAAGTGGAGACATTGCAACAGCGTTGGCCGGACGTTCAGTACCATATGTCTTGATAAGAGTCAATGTTCTTGTGTCCAATAGCTGAACATTCACAGAAAAAAATGAAGATTGATGAAGAGAAAGTCAACCGTAAGCAATCTGAGCCCTGAGGTTTCCATAAACTAGTCACAAATACTTAAGGGGTTAATAAGATGCATCACCTTGGCAGATTTATCCAGGGAACCGGTAAGGAAATGCGAACCATCTGCAGCTTTTGTGAGTGATGTTATCGTCTTCTTGTGGCCAGATTCCTTGTCAGACTCCCTAAGCAGTTTTCCGGTCTGCAGGATAGATCGGAAATATCAACCCAAAAGATCGGACACTTCCCATTGAATCAACGGAACTTACAAACAAGGGGAAAACATGGCTGAGGATAGTTAAGGATAATTCAGATAATAGGAAGACATGTAACTTTAAGCCTATTGAGAAAGGAGAGCCAAAACCGGTTATTACATCAGAAGTCTTCCAATGTTGAAGCCAAAAAGATTTAAGTGAGAAAATATTGTAAAGCAATTACCCCCCCCCCAAAAAAAAAAAAACCCACACACAAACAAAGAAACCCAACAAAATATATGGAAATATATCTCCACATAAATTGCAATTTACCTCAGAATCCCATATACGAATTACAGCATCTTCTCCAGCACTAATGATAGTCCTATTGAGGGGACCCCAAACAGCTCTATTTATTCTTCCTTGAGGGCCCTTGATGACAAGCACCGATTCCTCAGACTCTGTATGATTATGTGACAATGTAATGAATCAGAGTTTATACATCAAACACATCAACGGACTTGAAGCATGATTTTGTAAAAAAACCCAGCAAGATTAAACTACAATGCCAAACATTTACAAATACATTCTACATCAACAAAGTAATTTCATCCATTACTGCCTACTCTACCACCGCCTAATTGTATTCAAACTTAAAGCAAACCAATTGTATTGGACCGATAACACAATAAAGGAACAATAACTTTTTAATTATGAAAAGCAGACGTATTGAAAAGGGGAAGAATTTTAAGCCTACGTTAGGTTGGGTCTTTAGCAATGCGTTTAAGATGGATAGCGGAAGTCAATTCCATGAACGGATCCGTAGTAATGACAGCCAGTTTATCCCCTACGGAAAACTCCACCGACCTCGCAGGTGAACCAAAATTAAATGTATATAATTGAGTTCCCGTCTGAACATTCCAAAGCTTCGCCGTTTGATCAGCGCTTCCGGTTAAAAGCCTCATTGAATCCCCTAAACATTTGAAAAATTAAAAAAAATGAATTTTCTATTTTAATTTCAATTTCAAAAGTTTCAACTTCTATATATATATATAAAACAATAGAAAAGCGAATTACTTGAGACATCGCAAGTCCAAACAGCGCCGTTATGGCCACGGTAAGTGCCGAGACGCTCGCCGTTGTCGGCGAACCAAACGGTGGGAGTGTGATCCTTCGCACATGAAAATAAAATATCCCCATCTCTGTTGTACTTGAGAAACGTCAATGGCCTTTCATGACCTTTCATCAAAATCGGCCTCATCTTTTCTCTTCTTCCTTCAGAAAAATAAAATAAAAATCGTCTCAACTTCTCTAACTTTCTCACTCGGAATTAGGATTCCCAGCTTTTGCTGTATTTTCTTTTGTTTGGAATTTCTTTTAGAGACGGTCATGGCGGCGGCCACTCTTTTAGTTAATAAATATTAGAATAAATTACATATTTAATGCCTAAACTATTACTTTTATTTTGTTTTGGTAACTAAACTTTATTGTTTTAACTCATGCCCAACATTTAATTTATGTTTCAATTTGATACCCGACCGTTAAAATATAAATCATTGACATGATATTTTTAATTTTTTATGATGACAAAAAATTATCTTATGGTGACACGTCAATGTCATCGTTAAGTTTTTAACACCACAGTATCAAATTGAAACCTAAAATAAATGTTAGGTGTGATTTAAAAAAATAAAATTTAGATATTAAAATGAATTAAAAATAATAATTTAGATAATACATGTGTAGTTTACTTTAAATATTGGACCCTTTTCACAGCTACCCATTTAAATGTTCACTTGGGATCTTAGCCCAATAGTATTTTAAAAGTATATTTATATAAATTTATTTGACAAATTAGAAGTGAAGTGATATATAATTTTTATGAATTCCTACAAATCACCTTCTTGTATATTTATTTTTTAAAAAGAGATGAGATTCGTTTACATTATGTAAAAAAATTTTAGTTTTACTCCGTTATAGGATTATTAGATGTAAAAATAAATGATTGATATTATCACTAGAAAATGAGAATATATTCAATGAGAAAAATAATGGTAAACTATACAAATGGTCACTAAAGTTTGAGTAAATATTCGTTTTCCCTAATAAACTTTCAAAAGTAATAAATTGGTCACTAACATTACTGATTTGTAATAAAATGGTGACTTTGTCATTATCCCGTTAAATTGATAATGTGGCAATGTTAACAAAAAAAACACTTAAACTACTGCTAAAACTTCATATACGTCCTTAAACAATGAATTTATATCTAATTTATCCTAAAGATTTCTAATTTTCAGTTTTTTTAAATACCCACCACCACTACGTATTCCTCCCCTCCCCGCCTCTCCCAACTCATCAGCTCCCAAACCCAACCATCTCTGCATAATAATCTGGTGGCCTAAGAAATGCAACCCTATTGACTGAAACTTGTCAAACGCTAACAATGTCCCCATCGTGGAGCCTTGACGACCTTATTCCTCGACACCCCGATCTGTG